GGGAATTTTTTTTGGGTGCCTTGTTGGTAAAGCATTAAGCCCCAAAAATTTTTCCCCCACCAAAAAAAAAAAAAAACCCCAAGGTAAAAACAAAAAAAAAAAAACTTTCCCCGGGCCCCATTTTTTCTTTATTTTTCCCAACCCTGGAAAATCTTTCCCCGTCTTTTCTAAAAGGGGGGGGAAAGGCCTACCCCAATTTTTGTTTGTGGTTTCTTTTTAAAAAAAAATAAACCCAAAAAAGAGGGCTTTTTAATCTTCTCCAAAAAGGGTTGGTCAAGAACCCCTTATTTTTTAACATCTAAAGTAACAGACAGAGAATCAAGCACTTTCTGAAAACAGGCTGAAACAGAGGATGCTGCAATGATCTGGTTGTATTTTGAGCCAAACACTTCAGAGACATGTTTTGTATATATCTGAGACCTATAATATGTTGATGAAAAACAGTATAATAGGGGACCTTTAAAAGAAAGATTTACAACTTAAAGGTGACTTGGTTGTTCAAAAAGCTACACCAGATTTGTATTTTCTATAAAGCGACTTAAAAAAAAAGAAGCTCACCAGGGTTGAATAGCACCAAGTGTTTGAGACAGACAAATTCTTGTCTGTCCAGCTTTAATGACTTCAGCTTGTACACTAAATCCTGAGTCCTCGATACCAGGCTGCTTAGTGTCGGTCCTGCCTGAGAGATGATGGTTGAAACATCAATCTGCATAAGGATAAGAGAAAGGTTGTTTATCTGCAGCCCATAGCAACACAAAGTATTTATTTTGCAATGTTGAGTTTAGTCTTTACCTGCTGTCCTGTGACCAGATATATGCAGCCCTCTTTGCTGAAGGTCACCTGTCTACAGAGGTGATCCAGGACCAGCAGCTCACTCCAGCAGCTCTGCAGCAGCACCATCTGGTCATCCACCTGTGGAAAACACAAATAATGTATCTGATGTAGTTACAAATAAAAGACTACAACCTTTGACCTCCTGTAAGCACCCAACAAATTGCAAAAAGGTGAAGGTCTCCACATAAAGCTAATTGCTACCAGTCCAAAATGCAACTTTATAATCTCGTGATTTATCACCTTGAGCTCTTTAAAGAGTGCGCTGTTCCTGGCCCACTCCACAAGCCCAAACAGCGTCTGATCAGCCATTTTGCACATGATGCTGAATGTATTTAGACGGTCGTGTTTGCCTCTGTTGGCTTGTTCTTTCTGCAGAATGGCGAGCACCTTGGAACACAGCTGGCTCTCATCGGGCTCCCCCTCCAGGAGTTGACTCAGGAAGTTGGGTGTAAGAGTACCTGATGTGTAGTGGGTTTGGGTGGGAGCTCGGGAGAAAGGAATGGTGGAGTTTGGCGTTGGGCACGGGGATTGTGTTGGTGTGCTTATTGGTGTAAATGAATCATTCAGAGTTGGATGCACATAGTTTGCTGGAGCCGGACTGTAGCTAAAAGTTATTTCTCCTTTCTCCTGCAGGTATCCAGGGTAGATGCGGTGGTATAGTCCAGGGTAGGGCAGCGAAAGAGGGGTGAGCTCCCTGTCTGCGTTCATTTCGCAGTCTATAGGCATGGGTGCACTTGATTGCCCCATGCCAGAGGGATACATGTGGGACTGATGGAAAGTGTCAGAAGGCAATGGAGCACTTGTGTGATGGCTCATTAGGTGAGGGTCATTTGGAGCTGAGGGTCGTTGTTGTTTTTGAGTAGTTTCCATTTTAATCCTGTAGGGAGCAGTGTTTGTCTGGTGACAAACCTTTCGCTGTTTCATCTGCCTGTCCCGCCGGTACAGAGGGCCAAATTTATTCCTGCCACCTCTCATACGATCTGCTCTTATCGCTGTTAACAGAACGTGAAACAAATGATCAAAGTTTTACAACAAGACCTTAGACATTCACAGAGATAATTCATTTTAAACACTCTATATCACTAATATAAACTACATATTTTGAAGGCTCAGATACAAAGTTGTCATCTGTTATCTGAGTCATTTCAGCACTCATTTACGGCTTAGATAAATCATATGGGAGAAGGAACATGCATGTCAATGGAAAACAAGGCCTGTCACAATGGAGCAGAATACAAGTTTTTTTTAAAAGGCCTGAGCAAATGTGTGTGTTTCTGTCTTTTGCGTTGGGGCTGTGTACTCTACCCTCTCTCTTCATGCCCACTGCCAAACACTTTTGGAAGCGACATGAAGGACATCGTTTCCTCTGTGAAAGGTCCATAGGGCAGCTCTGTTGTCCTGCACAGGTGTAACGCTTGTTATTCTGCACTGAGCGCTTAAAGAAGCCCTGCAGAGAGAGAGAGAGAGAGAGAGAGAGTTATCTTAAAATCTTAAAAATCAACATTTTCAATACTTACACTGGTAGTTTCATACAACCAAGAATATAACACATTTAAAAAGAAATCTTGTACAAAAATGGAGGTTTTCAATATTTTGAAGTAGAATACAAAACATCTTTAAAACATACATTTATCTTTAAATCAACTAGGCTTCCCATTTCTTTAAAAAACCTAAAGAGAGAGAGAAAGAGAGAGAGAGAGAGAGAGAGAGAGAGAGAGAGAGAGATCTTTTTCGCTTCATCATTCTCTGCACATAGGTCAATCCTGAGTGACATAATAATGTTTTCCCATCAATTACCTTGCAGCTCTCACAAGTGAGCAGTCCATAGTGGTATCCCGACACTTTGTCTCCACAGATGGGACAACTCTCCTCTGGCTCTGCTCTGCTGTCAGGCTCTGCCTTTAATTCTTGACCTGGAGAAGGAGCCACAATTAAATGTACAATGTACAAATGAATGGTAGATGTACAGTATACAAACTTTTAATACGGAAGGCCAAAAGGTGATTTACAGGTGCTGGTTACTAAACGTACGGGTGATGGTGATGTCAAGCTACTCATTTTTTGTTTAAATGTTGATACAGAGAAGCCAAAGGTACTGTAAGTGGACATCCCATTTAGTTGCTTTTCTTTTATTGGGAATGATTTGTGTATTTGGCACTAAGACAAACACAAATAAAACACTATATTACAGTTTTCAAGTGTAGATAATATCTAATTAAAAGAAATATCTCAATTATGTCAATATTAAAATATGTATTTTTATCATAACTTCCATCTACACAACGTCCATAAAGAAGAGTTTGTTCTAAGGCCAACAGACTCAAACACATTGAGGATATTTTATTTGATCATCTTTGAGAAACACATTCAACACCTTTCTACTCCGGCAAGTTCATTCAGAGGTTCAGTGCTACGCTGCTGACATAAGTGTGTCATCTTATGGGGTCAATTGCTCAGCTGTTGAGAAAATAGTGAGCAGTAAAGGGCGATCCCTCTGTTACAGACAGTGCCTTATCACTCAACTTGATTTGCTTGATTACCGATATGACCCTTGCATAATTTCCAGTCTCCCAAATGAAAATCCGTTAAAAAAAACGAGAAATAATTTGAATACTTCAATTCATAATAAATATTGTTATACTCAAATATTCATACCTTTATTACGCTGTACACATTCAGAAGTTTTACTGAAACCTCTCAACAAAGTCTTCCTATCTTATACTCACATGTTGAAGATTCTTCCAATAATAACATATCCTCTGGGTGATGGAAGAGGGGCTGTGGTTGTACTTGGTGATAATCAGGCAGGTCCATTCTGGCTGAGGGGGCATGAGAGTCAGTCCAGTCTGATCTTCATTGTTGCAGAGACCAGGAGAGCCAGAGAAGACCGGCTGGCAGGCCCAACTTCCCCGGTGGACTGATGGCTCACAAGCGGACTTCGATCAGTAGTCTGCCATAAAACCTCTCCTGACTGGCACTCCTACCCAGTCACTCAGTCACTCAGCCAACCAGCCCCTCCATTGGGGACAATCCGATTTCCACCTGCTGAAATGTAACTATACTGAAATCACTCCAGTACCGTTGAGCCATCCTGGAGCTCTGCTGATAAGATAAGGGTCTACTGAAGAGGCAGTTAATCACATTCATACATTATCATTGTGTATTGTAATTGAAATGTAGGCAGTGGTGTGGGAAGAATATGGGTCTTTTTATTTAGTACTAGTTAAACATAGTTAAAATATTCTACACGAAAAAGCGTGTCTTTCTAAAGCTTAAGTAAAAGTAAAGGTTTGATCAGAAACATGTTTTTTAAGTTCCAAAAGTAAAGGTTCTTGTTCTGAAAAAACTGGACCCTTTGGGAATATTATATACGACACTATAAGATTGTTTATAAAGTGGCATCAATGTGAAGAATCTTCTTACTGTTTGAGCAAGTTGAGGTAGAGCTACTTTGAATTTTTTTTTTAATATACAGACACACAAAGGTAGATACAGCCCAATGGTTCTCAGCACAAGGGTTAGATAAGGAGAGACAGATCTGAGGCATTGTGAGATGCTTAATGTGGTAAGCAAGATAATATATGGTTACGCTACGAAGTCGTTCTTTACTTTTTTCAGTTACAGTACTTGGGTATTGTAGTGACCTTCCAGCACTGAATTTAAGTTCAACATAAACTGTTTATTCCTGAGTATACCATTATTTGTTTACATCAGTTCTTCATTCAAATAAAGTGCAGTAGAATCAGGAAACTTTGCTTTGCTCATTAAAACACAGTATTAACCAGCCATTACATTGTCCTGCATCCCAAGCCAGCGCCTCAGATGATACATTTAGCTGCCAAAATGGAACCAGCCGCTTTGATGAAGCTCACAGTGACGTCAAAGCAATAGAACAGTTCAAGGGTGGAAGGTTTATGGCTCCTGCACATTAGCTTGTAAATGGATTATGACATTTAACAGTAGAAAAGTTGCCCTGCTATATTATCAAGTCTTGCTTCTGACACCTCTACACTTCTCTCAGAGGGTACATTTTCAAAAATATTCAACAATCCTTATCAAGGTCACCAAAAAGCTGTCAGGTAGTTTGAGTTATCCTCCAAGTCATAGTATTTTTTAATTTAGTGCCATCTGGTGGTATTGTAGAATGGAACTGAAGTGATTGTTTTTGGCAGGCTTCTTCATTAAACCAGTTGCTTATGACACATTTGAGGAGGCCTTTTTTTTGGGTAAGAACAACATAAATCACAAAGAACAATAAATCACTGCAAAAGGGTAACTTTATTGAAGAAAACAGAAAGCCAGCAAACAAGCTGGCTTAAAAAAGTCTACATTGTATATTCAACTAATTGAAATTCATCAGCCTTTTAAAAATCAGTGCTCTCACTTGCAGGTTGTTTGTATGACACATTATAACCTGAAGCAGCTTCAACATCTCTTCATAAAGGCTGTCATTGCACAGGGCTCAACCCATCTCCTCGCTGCTGGAACACACCGGTTCACCGTTCACAACATACCACACCTCATTGTAGCTGTCAAACATCTTCTTTGGACTGCAAGAAACAAATGCACACACAATACATTTATGGCAAAAAATATAAAAATATGAACACAAATTTTTCTCTCATCAACAATTTTCTTTTTGGTTATCACTAAGAAAATGAGGGAGATTTCTTTACCTGTTATATCCAACAGCATAGTTGTGGTCCTTTTCATAGTTTGCACCTGCCGAGTCTAGGTCAGAGGACAGAGCATCCGCTTCGCCTTTGTAGAGGAAGCTCGACATCAATCCTTTATAGCTCCGTACATACACCTTCATTGCGTCCATGTGACCGATCTTCACCTGCAAGTAAGCCACAATGTTTTATTATCTGCTGAAACTGACAGATAACTCACATAATTAGTTCTCAAGAATATATATATATATTTTTTTCTCCAATGTTTTTTGACATAAAGGCTTACCTTCCTATCATTAGGTCTGGGGGGATTGGCCTGATGTTCAGCGGGCATCAAGAAACTCATTGTGTATGTATTCTTTTTCATACCGAATATAGAAAAAGATGACTTGTCCTCAGCGATGTTTATGATAACAGGAGCTGTCATTTCAATGCCGAAGTCTGAAGGTAAGCACCACAAAAATACAAGTGTTATTTTTTTAGAAATGTCACAAAAAGTAAATGCATTACAAAAAACTTAGAGCTTATACATCAGATAAACCATTTCTGCTCTCTAGAACAACTCAATATTGTAATTATAATGTCAGTACTATTTTGTGTACTATGTTCCTGGCAAACATAATGATTAAAACATATGAAAACATTTTACTCTTTACATTACACTCTCATCCATCTATTTAAATGCTAAGGAATGTTCTCTGTTCATCTGTGTATCTTGTGTATTAAAATGTTGTGCTGTTTTGATTTTTTTGTTTTGAGTCTTCTCTTTCAATAAAACATTAAATAAAAAAAGATAAATAACCACCTCTGATGTAGTTAAACAGTCTGCGGAATAATGGGTAGATTGCAAAGTCCATGAAATAGCTTTTCTCTTCAGTCCAAACCCATGTCACATTGCCATAGTCACGGACCTGAGAGGCAAAAACAAACAAAAGGGAGTGGGCTTTGAAAACAATTTGCACCTCAAATATGAACTTTTTTTGTCTTTGCACACTTACCTCATATCCATCAGTCTTACAAATGGAATCAAACAGCAGACACTGTTCGGTCTCAGAGCAGAAGTCAAGTTCAGAGGAGCTCCTGTGTATTGACAAAGACATTTAAAAAAAGGCAGAAATGCAGACATCAGGGAATATACTGTACAATAAACAGTATGAAGTGTTCTTGTCAACTAGATTTATGACAGTTTTATTTAATGTATAAAATATAGCAGTAATAAACTTTGCCGGGATCTGAGTAAAGTATTTTTTAAATCTGTAACTGAAGTCAAATGCAGGCAAGAATCTACAAACATGAGGATTCAATTGAGGTTTCTTACCCAATTCTGGCCTCAGCCGTTAGCACCAACAGGAAGCCAACAAGTCCTGAAATGTAAATCCTAGAACACACAAACAATATTTTCCAAAATATTGAACAAGCAATTGTTGTGCATTTGAAAGTTTTCATAGCATTTCAAATGAGTTCATACACTTGGAAATACTATGCATTGATTTTCATGTAAGACATCTGAACAATAAAAGTATACTTACATCATAGCAGAGTGTTGGGTTCTGTGCTTCTGAAGTTGGATACTGAGTCTGGTCCAAAGCATCCTTTTATTCCCACCCTGCTTATGAAAGGAGAACTGGCCACTCCCTGAACCCCTAACGCAAACCAGACGACAGATTTTCACAACCAATGGAAACGCAAAGCAGAAAACTGGGAATAATTATGAAATAGAGAGAAACGCTAGGCTGCACGTGTCATTTATATCACACATTTTATACTAACAATTTAGATTATTTTAAGGGAGATTTAGTTTAGACTCCTCTGTGACAGGGGGTGAACACATTTTCAATGTTTAACACTACCCAACACAACAGCACTGCAACAAATACATGACTTTGAAAGATTAGTTTGTTCAGACAGCCAGTGACAGGTGAAGATATGACTGTCTTAAAACAATAATCTAAATATCAGCTAAAAGCACCAATGTATCGTTGGGTGATATTTGTGTGCATGTGGGTCAATGTGTGCAACAGGACTGTATGGAGCGTAGGTGAGACAAGTTATCTTAGTCTGGCTGGCTTCATATAGGTTCTACACTTTTGACTGAAATTTGATCTCTTACTCTGGAAAGTATATAATAGACAATTGTATGCTTAAAGTCATTGTCTGTCTTTGTGAAAACCTCAACAGTAAACTTCAAACAGAATATCGAAGGTAAAATGCAAAAATAAACATTCTGAACTATTTATTGACCATTTTCTAGATTAAATTTGTTGGTCGTTGTTGAAGTGTGGTCCCATGTCCCCACTGGTCATCACAATACACTAGCACATACACTTACTAAGTACACCTTTGGTCCAATGCAAACCTGTTTTTCAATCACTGTCTTTTTACTAGTTGGTGGTTCAAGTTTCATCTCTCAATGAATGAAATGAAGGAAACGCCTTGTTCCCATGCCGTATTATTTACCACCATATTGTACAAAATGTCTTAAATAACAACCCTGGACACACACAAACAGAAACAAACAACTGGGTTGGACAGAAGATTCAAGTAACATAAGAAGTCCGAACATTGCATCTTTTGTGATCCTGTGATAGATTTTTGTACCTGCAGAAAACGAAATCCCTGGAGTTTCACAACAAATGCATTCTACCACGAGACAAAAGGTTGAATCTCGCCCATACGTTTAAAAGATAAGAGAGTTTTGGTGCACGACATACAGTAGAAGTGTGCTGTTTATACATCTTTATTTCGAAACTAAAAAGAAGATGTTTAAAAGAAATAAATACTAAAGCAAAACGGTCAGTGTATAATCCGTGTATCTACCGTCCAATTGTTTTTCTTTATTAAACACGTAAACGGAAGAGCGTCTGAGAGGCCTTTTTCCTTTTTGGTTTTTACCTTACTTAGACCACTTAGTAAGGTAAAAAGCAAAAAGGCCTCTCGAACGGTCCGTGTACGTTTTGTCAGTTTGATTTTTTGTTTAAACGGAAAGCCAAAAAACGAAAATACCAGCCTTTTTTCGTTTTTTATCTAAAACGAAAAAACGGAAAACCAAAGCCGTTTTCCCCTTGTTGTTGTTGTTGTCTTAATCAAAAGACGGATAACGAGAAAACCTAATAAAAAAAAGTCTGTACGTTTTATTAGTTT